ATGTCAGGGCCGCTGGCTGCTCTGTTGAGTGTCATAAGCTAAACAGCACTCACCCTTGTTTTGTTGCCATGACCAGATACAGGTCCAAAACTGCCAGTCATCTGGATTTTTATTTGTTTGTTTGTTCATAACTGTGACAAAGTCTTGGCTGGCCTGGAACTTGCTATGTAGACAAGACTGGCTTCAAACTCATAGACATCCGCCTGCCCCTGCTTCCAAAGTGCTGGGATTAGAGGTATGCACCACCATTCTTGGCTTATTTTTATTTTAAAGATTTATATATTTTAATTATGTGTACTTATGTGTGTCTGTATGGAGGTAAATGCAGTACCTGCAGACCAGGAACATTATTCCCCTAGAGCTAGAGTTACGTGCTGCTGTGACCCTCCTGTATATGCTGGGAACCAAACTTGTGTCCAATACAAGAGCAACTTAACTCTTAACCACTGAGTCATCTCTCCAGCCTCTTTTTATTTTATTTTTCTAAGTTTTAAATGTTATGTGACTTATTATTACGATTGAAAGATAGAGTGAGTATGAGTACAGGTGTGCACATGACATAGAGCATATATAGAGGTCAGAGGACAGCTTTTGGAAGGTCGTTGTCTGTCCCCATTGTGGTTCTGGGGACTGAAGTCAGGCGTTGGTGTTTTGTGTTTTTACTGCGTAAGCCATCCAACTGGTTCACACATTTCAATTTTTAAAGAGATACCAGAAGTTAGTGTGAAGTTTTCTGATATTAAGATTTTTGTATAAGAAAACATGGAAGTCATCCCCCCCCCCCCCCCCCCCCCCAAAGAAAAAGAGAAAACCAACAGCTATAATGGCAGTGTGAGTGTCAGTCAGAGTGGGATTATGGTCTCCAGGGTCACTGAGCCTGAGTGAGGATTATTGGAACCTGGATGGATATGCAAAGGCAACCACCATAAGAGTAGATACTCTGCAAGCAGAAAATCTATGTCATCTACCACTGTCCAAATCCTTACCAGTCACAAGAAACTTGGCATTCCTCATTAATGGTGAAGGGGCCAATAGCCCTCTACTCAGGACCCCACCAAGGCTAGTGGGTCCTGTTTCTCCCATGGATAGCCATGAAGATACATTATTGTCAATGAAGAAGAGGCCCTATATAAATCCTCTCCTGGTCCTTGTCGCCCCCCCCCATCACTTACTTCAGAGCAATTTGAACTCGAGTGGCTCCCACAGCTTCCGATTCTTCACTGTCGAATGTAGCAGCTTCAGAAGTACCCAGTCTACAAGATATTAGGGGAAGGAGTTAACATCCCCATACCTGCCCACGAACAAAGGCCTTTTCTGGACTTGGGGTTTCTGCTGTGAGACTAGATTGCTGGCTGTTTGCTCAGTGTGTCATTGGACTGTCAGGTGCTTGAGACCCCACTATAGAATATACTCTCTTTCTCTAGCATCTATTTCCCTAGTATATATTTTGCAATTGTCACCCCAGAACCCACATTTGCCCTAGGAGCCTTGGACAACACCTGCATCTTTGCTGTCTGCCATCTTGGGCATGGCTACAAAGAGGGCTGCCAGGGGAACAGCTAGGTCACTGAAAATGCCCTTCTACAGCCCTACTACATCCTGTGGAGCGTGGGCTTGACCATCCAGGGCTCATACCCTCCCCTGTAATAG